GCCCAGGAGGAGATCAAACATATGCAGAAATCGCTCCGAAACACACAAGAATGCAATGAGCGAGGGGCAAGTGTTCCTCTTGGTTGGCAAAGGGGGTGGGGGTGGTGTGGACTGAAGCAGCCGGCCGCCGCAAAAACACAAGCTCCATGATGGCATGTGTCACGCCCCTGCCAGACGGCCAGACGCCAGCACCTGAAACAGTGCTTGGCCCCGGGACCAGCACATATTTGTTACCCAAGACCGAGCGACTGCCATGTGCAGATATGTAGGGAGAAGGGCATGAGCAAAACCACAACTATGAAGAGTTACAGTCCAACTTGGCAGAAGCAAACGAGAGGAGTGGAGATGGAGTTAGAGCCCAGAGCAGGGTGAGGTCGCAGCGGGTCCTGTGGAGCCACGGGGGCTGTGGTGGCAGTAAGAACAGAGGGGCCGCAAAAGCGTCCAGCAGCGGGAGGAGCACACTGAGCTGGAAGAAGGGTGTGAGCCAGGACCCAGCCCCCCGCTGGGTGGATGGAGTCTAGCAACAGGTTTGGATGATACTGTGAAAACCTCCAGGAACGGTGACGAGGCCTCCATCAGGCTAGGCCCCTTGGCCCCTTGGTCCGGAGCACTTCCGCTGTCCTGAGTGCCTGTAGATGTGTGTTTATTTGTACGGTGATGGTTTTCATTGCCTATCTGCTTTTCTTCACTGGAAACATTCAGTGCCGGTGGAGGACGCCTATCTTCATCCCCCTTTTTCCTTGTTCCCTTCACTCCAGCCATCAAGCACCTGAGGGTTAGCTGCACGCAGAGCCAGCAGACAGACACTGCGTCTCAGCCTCTCCTGCAGCTGGTTGAGGCCGTGAGATGAAAGTTTGGCAATGGACGTGAGCGGAAGTGGCCAGGGCACCTTCTGCCACATCCCTTCCTGGCCAGGGAAGCTCTGGCTCTCCTTTCCTGCCTCCCCTCTTGCAGGCGGCTCCTCCCCCTTTCTCTCCGGAAGGACCTCCCTGCTGGAGATTATGCCCTTTTGGGACTAGAGACCTTTCTTAGGCCTTTTTCATGATGAGGAGGGGGAGGGGGGGCGGGGGGGGGGTGGTAAGAGTGGTTGCAAGGAGCTATCTTTCATTGGCTTTTTGGCTTTTTCAAAAACAAAAAAGACAGGCCTGTGAATCAACTCTGTCCGGTGGAATGTGAGTGAGATGCAGTACAGTGTTGGGTCAGGCTCGTACAAGGAAGTTCTCCACTTCCTCCTGCCCCTCCCCCAGGGCAGGGATTTGGCCCTGGCAGTGGTGAGCCCACCCTGACCCAGGGTGTCATCCTACAGGATACAAAGCAAGAATACACAAGAGCCCCATGTCCCTGGACCCACCTCGTGGGGAAGGAGGGCCCAGCCTCCCTGGACTGTGTACGGGCTTGGGCTTGTGTATGTGAGAGAATCAACTTCCATCCCAGTGAAGCTGTCAGCATTTGGTCTCTGTTAACAACAGCCAATCAGTACCTTAACACATCACTTATAAACACTGACTATCACGACTATGTGTTGAATGAATATGATTGTCAGTAGAAAAGTCACTATGTAAGTAAACTCATGATAAATATTTTCCCATTCCACTGAGCTTTGAGCATAAAACATTTATAGTATATTGGAAAATAGTAATATAAAGCTTCAATGGCAGTGAAGTTCTGTATCATGACCTTGGGCCCGTAACGTAACTGGCTTTGTCATCGGTAGGTGAGCAAGCACAGCATTCATTCAGCGTCTGCTGGGCGGAAGCCAGGACACGCTAAGCTCGCTGCTGGTTCCTGATCCCGGCCGTCGCGCCACAAACAAGGCCTTTCCGGGGAAAATGGGCCTTAAAGGCTTCGCGCTCTGAATGTCATATCGCTCTTCTCAGGCAAACATCATCACAGTGTGAGTCTGAGTGTTTGCTGTGGGACGGCTGCCATTGCTGGCTGCTATGCAGAACACAGCGACCACTTCAAGGAAGACTGGGAACTACTTGCTATTGAAGAGCATCACTTGACACTGGGGTTTAAAACATTTACAGCTACACGTATTATTATTTTGTAAACAAGTCTGTGTCTTCGTATTTAAATTTGGACTTTAAGTAAGGATGTCTGCTGGCACAGCCCAGCTGATCAAATGTGCTGATGGTCAGGTCGTGTGCTCCCATCACTGCAGGGCCGTCCAGGAGTCCGCCGGAGGCCCCAGAGCGCCCCGGGCAGGCGCCTGTGTGTGTTCTGTGGCCGAGCACTGGGATGGTGACATTCAATTAGCCAAGTGCTGGAAGCAAGGAACTGAAGGCGAGGCTTCACACTAGGAAAATGGTGTGGGTGTGGGCTTTTAGAACAAGGAATTGTAATGAAGCTGGACACAGGCCTGTTGTTTTCTGAGTAAAGATAAACCTCAAAAAGAGAGGGGCATTTGGACTTTATAATGACAAAAGGTCTATACTGCTGAAAACAGAACCATGGACATGTAAATACTGAATATGAAAAAATACCCTTTCCTGTACCACGGAAGTTGTTCTGTATAAACAGGATTGTCTATCTTTCTTTGATCAGGACCTTATTATTGCTGCTGTTGGTGGTTTTCCTTGGAGTAGTAAGTCCAGGGGCTTTTCTTGCTGATCCTAAATTCCCAAAACTGTGTGTAACAACTTATTAGCTTAACTTAAAAGGAAAGTGTTGATTAAAGGAATAAGTGAATGGCTGAGTAATGTTTGCATCCAATAGTGATGATTTCCACTAAATCAAGTGAAACAATTACCCAACATGTTCTGAAGATCCCAGTAGAAAAACACATATTAAACAAAGAGATTTTCTTTTAAAAATATGAAAACAGGATAATTTCTGTCAAATAAGTTGCTTATAAAGAAGGCTGCCTCATAATCAGTTTTTTTTTCTTTTTGAGTCTGTTGAGCACACTTAGTACACTTGGCAATATTGAAATATTTGATTTTCCAGAACTATGACTTTAAAGCCTTTTAAAACATAAACATGATTATGAACATGAGTTTACAACAGAGAAAGAATCTGACCAATATTTTTTAGGTCTGTGAAAAAAATATAACATTGAAAAAATCACTAAGATTATAATCACGAGCTTGAACAGTGATGGTTTTGGTATTTGCTCATCAGTAGTCATCTTGGCTCCCATGACCACCTATTCACATGAAATACACGAAAGGACTGAAGCTACAACTAGCGGGAGTTTTCGTCTATTTTCAATGATTTTTAACTATTGTAAATCAACTGACCCACATTCCAGTGAATGTCATTTGTGTAGCAATGTGGAAATCTGGCCTGGGGCGGTGGGGGTGGGGGGGGCTAGAGGTCTTCTGCCATTCATGTTTTCATTAAGAAAGTGGTTTCAGAATAGGTATTAGTTTTACAACATTTATGTAAAACAAATAATGTGACACTGGAAAGCAATACCACTCACTTAACTTAATGAGTTGCTATGCAATAAGTCAGATCCTCCCAGAGTGTAAATTACACAATTGGAAAGCCGCTCAGTGGTAACCCTGGCTTAGCATACCTAATTTAAAGCCGTTCACATCTTTTTTTTAAAAAAAACACCTATCACACATGTAGCTAAACCACTTGTTCCTCCCCCCGTCCCCAACAGTATTAAAACTATTTTAATTACCTCAAATAATAAAAATGAGATATGAGTTGTATTAATAGCCAGAGATACTTGAACTGAAGCTTGAATTATTAAAAATTTGTCATTTAAAAGGTGTCTTGAAATACACATATTAAGTTGCCTTTCAATATTCTAACAGGCCGATAAGCATTTTGTAAGAAAGAGTGTGGCTAGAATAAAATGCTAGGATGATTCTGACATTTCCTAGGTTGAACTGATGAGAGTTCTTATCGTAGGTTATTTAGTGAGTTTACGATTCCAGCTCATAAACACGTGTCAAATTTGAAAGAGAATTTAAGATTTCTAAGAACTAAAATAATAACAATAATAATAATAATAATAATAATAATAATAATAAATAGAGAGGGGGAAAAAAGCTAATAAAAAAATTTCTAAGAACTCACCTGCTTGCAATAAGGCCTTTTGCCTAGTGGGGCTACTTTAGAGAATAGTAAATTAAAGGGGGTCTTGTTCCCTCATAAATAGCTCACGAATAATTTGGGTGACCTAGAGACTGTAAGTTATTAGGGATGTGCTTATAAATGTAAATATAAATAATATATCACTTGCTCAAGACCCTTTCTAATGACCTAGCCTGGACCTCCACACTGTTGGGTACTGTCTGCTACTGGCTGAGTAATTGCCATTTTTGGCAAAGACCACCCAGGACACGGGCTCAGAGTCCAGGGGAGGGCCGGCCTCTGTAGCCTGGCGTCTGCGGAATCGGATCGGAGGGAGTGCATTCAATTCAGGAGGGTCACTTACGACTGAGTTTTTCATCATGGCTTTGACTGTGAAGCCCTCAGAAACCAGGGCGTGAGGCTGGTGCGCCAGGAGCGGCTGCTGCGCCTGCAGCTTGGTCCTCCTCTTCGGCATCTTGTCTGGGCATTTGTTTACGCTCAGGGTCTCTTTTTCTGCCACCATCTTCCTAGAAAATGTCTTGTTCTCATAAAACGTGTAGTAAAAAAATCAGTGGGTTTTACGGACGTGAGTTCGGGGAAAATGTAAAAAGGCGCTAACGGTAGAAATTCAACCCTTCCTAGTGCCCAGCCGATGGAGATGTTTGGCAACTCCCAGGTGAGGGGAGTTGAGGGGAGGGGAGGGGCGGGAAGAGCGCAGGACCTTGGCGGGTGCTGCAACGAGCTTCCAAAGGTTAGCCTCCCGTTGCTAAGCAACGCGTCAACACTGCGGGGAAATGGCTCCACCCCCAGTGACGTACGTTTCCTGGGACTTAACCCGGAAGTGCGGCAGACAGCAGGCGGCGGGCAGCGTGAGCCGAAACTGTGCGCTAAAACTACGACTCCCAGAAGGCCGTGGGCTGCTCACGGTCTGCGCGTGCGTACTCCGACGGCCGGGCGCAGGGGCGGGGAGTCCGGGCGGACTTAACCCCGGAGCACTCTGCCCAAGGGAGGCGCGGGCGGACGCCCGAGCGCACAGAGGCCCCCTCTTGTCCAGCAGTTTGCACCTGCCCAGTGACCATGATCGGTACGTGGTGCCTGTCAGGTACAGCCTCTCTGCGCCGCCCTGCGCCCCGCTGTGGCGCCGCGCCGGTCCTCGGACGACGGGGGTCCTAGGGTGCCCCCTCCCGCCCTCAGGTGCCAACTGTCAGAGGCAGCGCGGCGGTGTCCGCGCCCCCGGGAGCCCGCGGGGCTGCGGGAGACTGTGGGTGCGGCTGTCAGCCCCCCGCGCACCCCTGGTTTGACAGGCGGTCCCCCGCGACAACTTGGCGAGGGAGCCTGGCGCGCGCCGGTGCACCTGCCCCCGCCCTCCCCCGAGGAGACGCTGGCGCCGCGGTCCCGGGGCGGGCGCGCTGCCTGCCAGGCCCGAGTGGGGCGCAGACCCTGCGGTCCGGTCCGGTCCGGTCCGCTGTCGGGGGCTGGGAGGGAAGCCCTGGCCCAGCATTAAAGGAGCGGAGGGAGCCTGGCGGGAGGCTGGGACCCTCAGGCGTTCCTGCGGCTGGATGGAAACTTCTGTTCCTGCTGAATCTCCGTTGGCCGTCTGGCGGGAACGAATAACTAAGGGTCGGTAATGGCAAGGATGGAAACTTTTTGCATCATGAATGAACGCGACGGATTCATTATGAAAAGTCCCTAAACACGACGGCCTGGGTGCCACACAGCGAGGAGGCGCTGGAAGGGGCCGCTCGGTTGCCATATGAGCGCGCAGTCTTCCCAGCTCAGGGAATGTTAGGCAAACGTGGTTTCAGGGGTGCCGCTGAGCATCAGTGCGAATGCACAGCGTGGCGTGAACACTCGCTTCCCAGTGCCCCCCATGAATCCTTAGGGGGGTTGATGATGACAGAGCCTTGCTCTAGAGCAGTGGTTCTCAACCTTCCTAAGACCGCGACCCTTTAATACAGCTCCTCATGTTGTGGTGACCCCCAGCCATAAAATTATTTTCGTTGCTACTTCATAACTGTAATGTTGCTACTGTTATGAATCGTCATGTAAATATCTGATATGCAGGATATATTTTCATTGTTACAAATTGAACATAATTAAAGCACAGTGATTAATCACAAAAACAATATGTAATTATATGTGTGTTTTCCGATGGTCTTAGACGACCCCTGTGAAAGGCTGTTGGACCCCCCAAAGGGGTCTCGACCCACAGGTTGAGAACCACTGCTCTAGTAGATGTACCAGTTGGTGAACTTATTTGGGGATTATCTCCAATGAGCGCCATTTGTGAAACACTTTTGATTGCAACAAAGGCATCGCATCTGAAGTCAGATGTAGTATGATTTTAATTCAGTGTAATCCAGTGCATGGTTAATTTAAAAAGAAACAAATTTATGACAAAGCTATAGATGAAGCCAGGGACTTCAGATCTAAAAATCATCACTTAATTCCAAATTGAGTATCTAATAAGTGATTACATAAATAACTATTAGGGTGAAATGTGTTTAGGCAGTTTTGTTTAGTTTTTTTATTTTTTATTTAGAGACACAAGAAGAAAGAGTGTGGCCTTGGGATTTGATGGTTAGACCGTTATTAGTAACTGGTAATGACATGAAGGATTTAAAGTGGATTTTTAAAAGGCTTTTTTCATACCCTGGCCAGTTTTGCTCAGTGGTTGGTGCATCGGCCTGTGGATGGAAGGGTTGCAAGTTTGATTGCGGTCGGAAACATGTAGGTTGCAGGCTCCATCCCTGTAGGGACGCTGGCAGGAGGCAGCCAGTTGGTGTGTCTCTCTCACATTGATGTTTCTCTCTCTTTGTCTCCCCCCACCTTCTATTCTCTTTAAAAATCAACGAGAAAAATATCCTCGAGGATGAGGATTAACAACAAAACATGTTTCTGTCCTATTCCAGCTACTGCTTTTAATAGTGTAAATTACAACGCAAGTAATTAAATGTCTGTCCCATCCTAAGAAAAGCACCTTACTTACAACAAACAACCAGGAAGACAATGTGCGATAAATGATTTACGTAACTAGTTGCCTTGCTTATGACTACATTTTAACAAAAACCCTAATCGCCCCTTGGGCCCGGCTGTGGGGGATAGTGGTGCCGGTGTGTGGGAGCGGGAGCCGTGGGAGGGGAGGCTGGGCACACGGGGTCGCCAGTTGCTGTTACAGCTTTGGAGCGGGGTAGGCATTACAGTTCACACCCAGTGATGCGCTGGGTCAAAATACACATAACTGCATACCTGGGGGTTGTCTTTTCTGTCTCAACACCTGTGCTCCTCAGAACTTGCCCATTTCATGTTGTGCTCTCTGTGATGCTACGCCTCCTGCAACGCAAATAGCACTCGTCCACGTTCTTTATCTCTTCGCTCCCTTTGGAGGAAAACCAGGAAGCGGGTTGCTGGGTAGAACAGGAGTAAGGCATTGCTTCTCTACCAATGCAGCTGTCTTGGCACTGAGACCGCTTCAAAGCACGTATGTTTCTCGCTTGGATAATGACTGAGATGTCAGCTGCCCTGACCTAGACAGCTACGGAAACACAATCCAACTTAAGTCTGAAAACTGATGACTGTGATTACTGAGACGTATGGAGAAGGACTGCAGGATAATATAAGCAGCATGGAAAACCCTTAAGAAAATTCAACTTAGAAAAATGTCCTTTTGGCACCTCTGTATTTCTTATTTGACCCCCTTTAACCTTTACTCCCCCCTAACCCCCCTCCACCTGGTAACCCCCATACTGTTGTCTGTGTCAGTGAGGTTTGTTTATTTTCCTTGTTTGTTCATTTGCTGTTTTCAGTTTTATATCCCACATATGAGTGACAGCATATGGTCCTTGACTTTTTCTCTCTAATGTATTTTCCTTAGCGTGATATTCTGATGCTCCATCCATGTTGTCGTAAGTGGCAGTGTTTCATCTTTTCTGATGGCTAAGTAGTATTTCATTGTATATATGGATCATATCTTCTTTACCCAATCATCTATTGAGGGACACTTTGGCTGTGTTCATGTCTTGGTCACCTTGAATAATGCTGCCGTGAACACAGGAGTGCATATATCTTTGCAAATAAACGCTTTCAGAAATTTCTGGGAGGTACTCGGGGATTCTGGGTGATGTGGTAATTCTATTCTTAATTTTTTAGGAACCTCCATACTGTTTCTCATGGTGACTGTACCCGTTTACATTCCCATTACAGTGAATGAGAATTCCCTTTTCTCCACAACGTCTCCAACACTTGTCAGTGAATTGTTGGTAACAGCTGGTCCAGCAGGTGTGCGGGGCGTCTCATGTTGGTTTTAATTTGCGTTTCCCTAACAGCTAGTGATGTTGAGCATCTTCGCATATCTCTGCTGGCCTTTGTATGTCTTCTTGGGAGAAGCGGCTGTTGAGAGCCTCTCCCCATTTTTTAAACTGGATTTTTGCCGGGGTCCAACCCCAGCAGGTCCAGGGGTCCCCAAAGGTGTAGACGGAGTCGGCGAAGAAGGAAGGACACGGAGACAGCGTTCAGTTGATCAGCAGCCTAGCCAGGATCTCCAGCCAAGTTCTGGTCTGGATCTCCAGAGAGGTTCTGCTGTTTATTGTTTTGTTACATCCGTATTTATACCAGTTGATTTTAATCCTGTCAATTTCTATTACAAAGGTTAGGGCGTTTCTTATCTCCATTCCAGGGAGTAAAGATTATGTAGCTTAAGCATGACTGTTTGTAGTTAAAGTGATTAACTACCCGCCTGGCACTTAGTTAAGGAGTTTCATCCCCTCCCTAACTTCAGGGAAAAATTCCTACCTGGGGAAACAACCTTTCTAGGAGAGGCATCCCCTCCCTGACTTCAGGGAAAAATTCCTACCTGGGGAAACAACCTTTCTCGGAGAGGTGACCTTGGTTAAAACACACAGCGCTAAGGGGAGCAAACATATTAAGAACAGTATGCTATATACGCCAGGTCCTTTGAAACATATGCTGTGCAGATGTTTCTTTCCTGCAGCGACTGTGTCAAGCAGCAAGGATGGACTGGCTTCTGGCAGATTTTAAATTTTTGTTGTTGTTAAGTTATATGAGTTCTTTATATATTTTGATATTAACTCTTTATTGGAGGTGGGTGTTGTGTGAAAATATCTTCTCCCATTCTGTTGGTTGGCCTCTATTAAAAATATATCTCACCCTTTAAAAAATAGCAATTCTTTGTATTTCAATTTTTTAAATTTTCTTTTTTTTTTGTCTTTTTAAAGAACGTGTTTAACAATTTTATAGTGATGTTTGTGGCCCAGTGTCAGATGTTACAGTGAATGGGTAGCCCGGCCAGTCTGGCTCAGATAGCTGGAGCACCCTCTCATACACCAAGAGGTGGCAGGTCTGATTCCCAGTCAGGGCTCTTACGGGAGGCATCCTTTCGATGCTTCTCTCTCTTTCCTCAATAAAAAATAAGACAAAACCGTTATTTAAAAAATAAATTAATAAAATAAGGCGCATGCATACGTGTACAACAATGTTGCCAGTATTGAACTTCAAATCTGCCGGGGTCCAACCCCAGCAGGTCCAGGGGTTCCCAAAGGCGTAGACGGAGTCGGCGAAGAAGGAAGGACACGAAGATAGCGTTCAGTTGATCAGCAGCCTAGCCAGGATCTCTAGCCAGGATCTCCAGGGAAGTTCTGGTTCAGGATCTCCAGCCAAGTTCTGAGTCCATGTTCCCTCGCTAGGTTCTCCAGGCAGGTTTAGTAGCCATGTTCCCTCGCTAGGTTTTCCAGCCAGGTTCTATCCAGGTTCTCCAGCCAGGTTCAGTCACCAGGTTCTAGTCAGGTTCTCTTGCCAATTTCTGTAGTCAGGTTCAGTCCAGGATCTTTTGCCATGTTCTCTCGCTAGGTTCTGTCTCTAGGTCTGAGGCCAGTTTCTGTCCAGGATCTTTTGCCATGTTCTCTCCAGCGAAGTTCTTCTGTCTCTAGAGAACGTTCTGTGTAGGTTCTGTGCCTCCTGGTTCTGTCTTCTTCGTTCTGTGTTCTAAGTTCTGAGTCTTGCTGTCTTGTTACATCTGTATTTATACCAGTTGATTCAATCCTATCAATCTCTATTACAAAGGTTAGGGCGTTTCTTATCTCCATT